ACTTATGTACATGTTATGTTTTCGTTCTTTATTTTTAATAGATTTGCAAAAATTTGCAAAAAACTGTTTTCACTTTGTCATTATGGGTTGTTGTGTATAGAATGTTGAGGAAAATAATGAATTTAATCCATTTTGGAATAAGGCTGTAACAACAAAATGTGGAAAAAGTGAAGTGCTGTGAATACTTTCCGGATGCACTGTATGTCCAGGGTAGGCACAACACACCATAACATATTTTACTTTTGAGTATGTTAGTTTGTAAAATGTACGTTGTTACAGCTGTTTCTAGTGCTTTAAACCGCATCTCGTTATTTTCCTCAGCAGGTGGAGTTTGTTTTCCATCCACTAGAAAAAGCTAATAGCAGCAGAATTGTTTTTCAGAATTTCCTATTGAAAGTGTCGACTCCTGTTTTGGGAATATGCACTAAATCATCGGCTGTTGTCCCTGCAGCGAGGCGAGACGCCTACAGTCTGCAGTCAGAATGCCCGAGATATCGACAGATAACCTGGACGAGAAGCAGGTCCGGCTGCTGTCGGAGATGTGCATTGTCATCGACGAGAACGACGCAAAGATTGGAGCGGACACAAAGAAAAACTGCCACCTAAACTCAAACATCGACAAAGGTACCCTTTTGTCCTGTTAAACTGCACACACACACACCTTGCTTCGAGTGCACATCTCTTTATTTCCGCTTTGTCGTTATGGTAAATTGTTTGTTTGCTTTTCCCAGGTTTATTACACAGAGCTTTCAGCGTATTCATTTTCAACAGCGAGGAGAAGCTGCTCTTACAACAGAGGTCTGACGCCAAAATCACGTTTCCGGGTCAGTGACAGATCCTTCCACCACTCAGTTTAACCATTATCCAAAAATAGTCCTGTGGTCCACACTACATGTAGCATAACTAGAGAACTAAACACTAACGGTAGGCACTGGCAATGTGTTTAATCATCTCGTGTCTGTGTGCACAGGCTGTTTCACAAACACATGCTGCAGTCACCCTTTACACACAGACAGTGAGCTGGAGGAGAAGGAAGCAATCGGAGTGAGGAGAGCTGCTCAGAGGAGACTCGAAGCTGAATTGGGTATCCCCATAGAGCAGGTAGAGAGTGTGTGTGTGTGTGTGTGTGTGTGTGTGTGTGTGTGTGTGTGTGTG